ATTAGGGCGTTCCTGGAAACGGGTCCACCACAGGACCGACACCTTAACAGCTCCCCATTTGGACCTGGATCCGTACCAGAAGCAGCTTTAACCCTAGGGCCAACCTCCATGCCAGGGTCCCCCTCTGGAAACAAGAGCACAGCCCCGGAAGCTCAACACACATGCAATAGAAGAGGGTCTAAACTGAAAGATTTATATTATGTCAGTGATTAAAACAGACCGTCGTACCTTTAGCTTGAGATGAGCCCGGTTTGCTCTGATTGACCGGAGCTGTGGCCGTGCTGGCCTGTGACTGGACTTCGGGTGGAGGGGTGGGAGTGTGAGACGGCACTGGGTTCAAGGTCTCACGATTAGCCTCTGCCTCCTGCCCTTTGACCTCTACGTCTGTGACTATCTCAAGGGTCCCAAACTCTGTCATGCGGAACTGAAACAAGGAGGGAAATAAGCAGACATACCGATCAGGACTTGCACCCACGCTCCAGATTATTTTATCTCCTGTTCAGATCCTGGGACAACCGGATAATTATGTAAAGCAAAATTATTTCTCTACATTTAAACTAACATTTACAGTAAAGCATTCACAACCCTTAAACTTTTGTGCTTTTTTGTTAAAACTACAAACTGCTATGTATTTTATTTTTGATATTATGTGATAAACATACACACAACAGTGAAGTGGAAAGAAAACGATGAATAAACACATATTTAGGGCCCTTTTATTCTAGTAACCTTAAAGAGGATCCAGTGCAACGAGTCGCCTCCGGGCGCCAACTGATTAGAAAATACTGTCGACCTGTGTGTAATTTAATACCAGTATAAATCCATTAAATTACATAAACAGCATTCTGAAGATATAAAAACACCGCTAACAGGTCAGGGAGAGAAATGTTGAGACATTTAAGGTTAATTTATTAAACAATGTCCTAATCTTTGAACATCCCAAGAAAAGACTGCAATAGACTTGGAACTGGGATGGAGGTTCGCCTTCCAACAGGACAACAACTCCACACACACAGTCAAAACCACAGAGTATTACTTTAAAGCATATTTTGTGTTAGAAAGACCCAGTCAAAGCCCAGACATAAATGCAGTAGAGAATCTGTGCTAAGACTTATAATTGCACATTCACAGTTTGTTCTCCATCCAGTCTGACCGTGTTCGTGCAGTTTTGTAAAGGAGAAAGAGCAAAGTTTTGGGGTTTTACATGCACAAAGCTGGTAAGAAAATACTCCAAAAAGGCTTGCAGTCGTTACTACAGACAGGGCATGATAGGTTTTTAGTGCTGAATAGACAAGTAAGCCACACTTTTCAGATTTCCCCCGCCCCTTTCATTCACATTTATCCACTATTTTGTGCTGGTCTATTAAATTAGATACCACTATAATCCTTTGACCTTAGTGGTTACAAAATCTGAAAAAGAGGTGCGATTACTTTTGAACGGCACTACATCTGATTAAGAGCAGGAACAAAGAAAAACATGTACCCTGATATCACTGCCTGGAAGTGTAGCAATACCATCCTTCCAGTCCAGAGCTCCCATCATGTCAAACTCGGCTCCCTGGGAGGGTCCATCACTGGGTGGAGTGTCAGTCATTCCCACTCCTCTGATATGACCTACCTGAAAAGCCATAATATCCACAGAAGAGCAAACACTTGAATCCTACAACTATGAGTAGTCTGTGCATTTATTTAAACTATCGATGTTTTTTTTTTATTTGCAGTGAGGCGGTCGGTGTTATGTTTTTGTCTTCTCAAATACTAAAACGCAGATTCAACCTGCGCTTGTAAACAGTGATACCCAACATCACCACTAGATGGCGAGTGTGTGCAGGCTTGCAATGGTACACCATGCACTTCTGTTTCAGACAAAACACTCAATAATAATATTGTTTTGCCGGTCAACTAACGGGCAAATACACAAACAAACGACCTCATTAGGATAAACATTTGTTAAGACCATTGACAAACAAGGGAAAATACGTCTCAAGTTTGAGTTAATCACAAAAGTTCGTCTTTTCCTTGTTTTAACGGTATCTCTTAAAAACCAGAGTTTGTCTGGTTGCAAGCAAGCGAAATGGCAATGTGTTCATCGATTTCACAAAGAACACTATTTTCTGCACTGACTGTCCAAACTTAAAAGCGTTTAAAAACGTATGTTATTACGATTAAACGTTTTAGTCCTGACGCATGTTCAACATTGAATTAATGTCATATTTTCTGTTTGCAACGTCGTCATAACCATGTGCAAAGTAAACAACAGTGAGGGTTAATGTGTCCTGTATGAGTTTGACGTTGCAATTGATGCCTCAGTTTTATACCAGCTATAAATAAAGTGTATGTAAGAGCGCCCATGATTAGCATTCGCCCTATACAAAATGGCGGAGCATAGGAAGAGGCCACCAACATGTTTAAACTATGTTAATTACTCAAGTTGCCCATTTAAACTAATCATGCGAGGTCCCTTCGCGTCAAACAAAAGCAAAGGCTGGCTATGTAATTTCCTGACCGAGTGTTTTCATTGAGTCTGCCCGTTTTTCTTCACTTTCTCCTTGTCACGGAATGTCAGCCCAGGTTGCTACGGTAGCTAGCTGAAGCTAACCGTCAGCTAGCGCCGGTGTTGTGCCGTAGAAAGCACCCCTGCCGTCAAAACAGACCCCAGTTTCAAGACGTATATATGTACCGATAAACCAGGTGGAAGTGACTGGGAAATGTTTTATCACCATGCCATCACTGTATTTATCTGATTGTATTTGTGAAAATAAATGCCCTAAAATACGGTTCTAAACAGTGGATGCGTTTGACGGCTGGGGCACTTTTTTCGGCACAACACCGCTCCGTAGAAATGAACGGACGACTGCTAAACAGCTAGCCGTAGCATTGTGACTGGATGCAGCCAGATAAGGACAATCTGTAATAAATAAGTTTCCCGGTTAATAACTACCTAAAAATGCCGATATTTCAAGGAATATCACAAAAGCATAAACAATAAAACTACACTGCTGTTATGAGATTTGACAATGTTGCCTGATTAATTTCTTCAATAGAAACTTAAAAAAACGATTTATTCACGCCGTTTTAAATCAAAGTGGAAATAACGCGAACAAACACCAACTAGACAATCTTAGATCGGGTTTTAAATTTTTTGCTCACGTTAACAGAGATAAAAAAGAATTAACGGTCGTATTGTTTAGAAAAATTGTGGAACTCACCTCGTTTCTGTTTAACTCTTATTTAGAGCTGGATAAGACCGATGCGCATGCGCGCAAGATGCGGCTGCCTGACAAGTTTGGGTCTCGGGAAAAGTTCAGCTCGCTATCGGTAGGCCTGCGTTTGCTCGCAGCACGCCCAAAACTCGGTTCGGGACTGATTTAAGGGATACCAGAAGCCTTAGTGGGGCTCGAACTTCCCTGTTGCCCTCGAACAGGCGTTTAGAGTATATCCCTCTCTCCTCCTTCCCCCACTGTCAGAAGTAGGAGTGAGTGTATCAATGGAGCGCAGACAGGGACTGCAGCGGCTCCATTATAACCGTTGGAGAGCGTTTGGTTCCTGTATGGTGAAAATGTCCGTTTGCATCTCTGTTTTCAACACTACACCTCCGTTAAACGGCATATTTATATGAGTATGGTCCCCGGCATACGTAAACACGTATCACACCAGCGTGCTAACACACATCAGTCTGACATGAAGTGATATTTCTTGCCTTAACAGATTGAATACATTGTAACACAAGAATCCAGATTGGTTTTAGCCGAACAGTGTTGCTGGCAGCAGTTTGCGTCACAATAAAACGAAGCCATGGTGTAAAAAAAAAACAAACAAAAAAAAACAAAAACGAGTTTAACCACGCAAATTCTACGAATTAATGCGCAATACGTTTTGTGGTTGTAATTTTTTTTATATGTGTTGTCTAATGCACCGCGTGTCGTCTTATTTTGAAGCAACACACTGGAGACATGGATTCATGGATTTAAAACTGTTAATGCTTCTGACATACTTGAACTGAATGGATTAATAGAAGTACTCCTCCGTACGTCGTACGCGAATATTAAATTATGGTGGTTTATGGTCAAGTCTTGCCCAATTCACCATGCCCTACCGACGTTACGTTCCTCCCTGCTTACCCGTTTCATAACCACGTTCTGAAACCATTGCATGCCCATTTATTTATTTATTTATTTATTTATTTATTTATTTATTTATTTATTTATTTATTTATTTATTTTTACCTCTTTCATTCCGCACCTTTGCGGTGTTAGAATGTGCACCTATTTCATCCCTGAAGACATTAAGTAATAAAATATATTTGACTAACTGCCTGCTGGACTCCTGTAAATATTTAATAATATCTTCCAACAGGAGATCGCCCAGAGTTGAGCAGTTTTAAGGCAGGGGTGTAAATCTCAGTTAGCAGGCCCTAAATTAGATCAACAAAATTAAATTGTCATATAATCTGATTTAATATTTTATTTTTTATGACTCGTGTATTTCTTGAAAATAAATAAACTTCGCCAACTTCAAAGTGGATGCTTTACTGACTAAAAAAAGTGTGACGTGTCAACAAGTGGGTGCAAACTGGGGAGGAAGTGAATTCAGGAAGGTTCGGCAAACGGATTTTAATCAAAAACGTAGGGTACGAAACGACCAAACAACCCCACAAAAGTTACGAAGTGGCGTTACCAAAGATGGCGGCAGGGGAATAATGGACAGCAGTAGAAATGTTCTCTCTCACCACCTCCTCCCATGGTTAGACAGTATTATGCATATTTTAAGTTTGAATTAAGCACTGTGTTTATTTATTTATTTAATGATATATTCGTCTGCTTAGCTTGCTTTCAATGCAGAGAAACATCTGGCCTCAAAACTGCTTCCTTACCCGAAGACGTGGTGTACGAAATGACCACAAATGCAAAGTTCCGAAATGGCGATGAAACGAGTTCATCTTCTTGGACGTGAACGCGGCGGCGGACGCTGCTCCGTGTTTTTGTGATCGTTTGGTCGCTAGATGGCGCAAGTGATCCAGCTTCCTTGGGATTAGCGGCAGATTGCAGCTTGCATCACTTTTGCGTTACACCATCAAGTGGCTTCAAAGCTGCAAACCATGAAATGGCATTCAAAGGCAAAACGGTCGATTCAAAGGTAAGCGGTAATAGATTGCGATGTGCTGCTGTTTACACTAAAGCAATCCGCTGAAGCGTCTCTGTGGCGAATGATGTGCTAATCATGGTGTGGATACCACACACTTTTACTGTGTCACGTTCAGATTTTCTCATGCATGATTCAGCAGCTGGTCAGAAAGCTCTCTGTTCGCCTATAACGTGGATCTCAGTAACATTTCAATCCTGTGCATGTTCAGCTTCGGGTTGCCTTCAGGTTTAGTTGACTGGTGGCGCATCCTGTCTTTCTGTCTCCGTCACCCCACAGACCGTGCTGCTCAATCTGCTGCTGTGCCTGCTCATATTTTACTCCCTTTTCTACATGATCGGGAGTGTGTGCTTCGGTGCTTTCAGGTGAGTAGAAATTCCCCACGCATGCGCACAAGCACAAGCGCAGGAAGGACAATGCCCAGCAACGCGGCTACTAACACGGACACAGCGACCCTGATGTTGCAGGGGAACGTTTTCCAAAGGCAGCAGCGAGATAATTAATTATTGGCAATTTTCAAATAAAATCAATGTAAAAAAAACAACAACAAAAAAAACAGCTTAGTTTTAACGAAGGCGTATCCTATATCTTGCCAAAGGTGGTTTAGATAAAATTACATAAATTAAAATGTGGCGGAAGTATTTTGATGATTACTTTACTCATAAATGTTGTGTTTTGTATTTCATTTAATCTTACATTTCTATATGAATTACCTGATTGTCAAGAATTGTACAACGTCTTCTACTAAATTAATCTTTTATTCCAGGTTTTGGATAATCTCACACTGAAAATGTTAAGGGAAAACATCCAACCATTCATTTGCAAACATGAACTATAGTTTTCAACGTGGGGGATTAACTAAATCCCTATTTAAGAAATAACTGTTTATAACAAAATAACCATATGAAAACATTATCAGGGTATTATTTCCATTTGAAGTAAAAGGAATGTTATGTATCAACATTTTTGCCAGATTGTTCTTTTTTTTTTTTTTTACTTATGAGTAAGGGTTCTAAAATTATGGTTTATTATTATTATTTTGAATCTGAGATCATGATACTGCAAGAAAAGAGGAATACTTCTTTTTAGACATCTTTATCTGTGGTGCCACCAATAAAATGTGGCTAACATTTCGCCTCCAAGGAACCAGAACATTAAAAACATTGAAGGGAGGTTTTAATACTGTTTTTCAGACTTTCTGAATAGGTTAGAGTTTTACGCCTTGCAAACTGGGCCTTAATATCACCATTAATTACATTTGGATTGTTTGTAGTACTGACTTTTCCTATTTAATCCTCCACTTGTTCTCCTTCCACACAAAGCAAAATATGGTTTTATGGTCAAGTAAAAGAAATGGGAGAAACAGCAGCCAAAGTCCAAAGAGAAACTTCAAAAGACTTTAATGATATCCACTTCAAAAGATAACAGGAAGGTCTGAGTAATAAGAAATTATTGCACAATTCTACCGAGATCCGTTTGCTTCCTAGGTTTAGATAATAATAAAAACGTGAGTCTTTCACTCTAACAACTGATGTTTCCTTATGCAGGTTGGATCACTTTGACGGGCTGATTCCATTCGATTTTAAAACTGAACCTGCTGAGTCTAACTCCAAATACCTGGGTGAGCATATCGCATACAAACAGTGTGATCAGCAGCACTGATTGTCAGCTCTCTACAGATAATATATTTCATCACTTTGCTTGTGTCCTTCAGTCAACCTCCTCTCCTTGGAGCTGACCTACTTTTGTAGTGGCATACTGTTTGCTGCAGTGGTGAAGAGGCGGGTTTGGGACTACGCCCTCACTGTCACACTTCTTCATGTTATGATCACCAGCCTGGGTGAGCAGAACAGCACATCTGTATTTGTGCACGGCAAAAAGACCAAATCTGCAGTGTAACTGCATGTTTTGCCTCTACATTGCAGTGATGTTGGAGTTTCCCACAGTGTGGCAGTGGTGGCTGGCTTTAGGTAAGCAAACGTCAATGGCAACCCGCCTTTTTGTCGTCAGTAACGAGCTTATTCATTCTCTGTGTTGCTTTTTCCACAGGTAGCGGCTTGTTTCTGATGATTTGCAATGGTCAGCTGATTGCTTACTTCACATGTCAGAGTGAGCAGAGCTACGCCACTTTCAGCTACTACTGACAAGCTGGAAAGGAGGCAAAAAATTAGGATAACATCAGCTCATTTAAATTATTCTGTTAAAAGGGTTAAACTTGTGTTCATATGCATTCACTACACACAGAGTGGTCTATTTCAAGCTTTTATTACTGTTAATTTTGATGATTATGTTTTACAGTTAATAAAAGCCCCAAATTCTGTCTCTTAGAAAATTCAAATGTTACATAAAACCAATGAAAATGATTGTTAAAATGTAAAAGACTGCTAGAAGCTGACTCCTCACAGACTGCTGTATCCAAGCATATCAGTGGAAAGTTTAGCGGAAAGAAAATAGTAATAGTAGAAAAAGGTGCATAGGAAAAGGGCTGATTACAGTGAAGTTAAGTGTTTAGTGGGAGATTTACAAGACGTGGACAGTACCTGCATTCAGAGCTTCATGAACTTCCACAGACAGAACATGGGCTACAGCTGTCCTGTTCTCATGTGAAGTCACCGCCAAACCAGAAACAACAGAAACCTCCGAACTGGGCAAAAGACAAAACGCACTGGTCTAAGCATGGTCTGGTTACTGGTATTAAAGCTGCAGATGGTAACTTTTATTAAAAAATGTATGTTTTTTACATATTTGTTGAAACTGTCACCATGTTGTGGCTGTATAATATGAGACTGATAGTCTGTGAAAACAATCAAGCTCCTCTGCCTCCTCCCAATGGTCCTACTGATACCTGCAGAAATTCTCAGCTCAGTCAGAAACAACCAATCAGAACAGAAGAGGAGGGTCTTAGCACTTTCAGTTACGCTTGTGTATGTGCTGCTCACACGTTCCTCCACTGCCGTGAATGTTCGGGCTAGTTAGCTTAGCCACAGATGACGGATAAACAGTTTCCTGAAACAGTAAGTTCTTTCTCCGCCATTAGCACATTGAGCAATGCGTACATAAGGTTGATTGACATCGCTAAGACCCTCCTCTGGGCTGTGATTGGTTGTTTTTGACTGAGCTGTGACTTTCAGTTAGCAGTAGGAGCACTGGGAGGAGGCGGAGGAGCTTGATTGACAATCTGAAATTCACAGCTCAGTCAAAAACAACCAATCAGAGCCCAGAGGAGGGTCTTAGCAATGTCAATCAACCTTATGTACGCTCTGCTCAAAGTGCTAATGGCGGAGAAACAACTTACTGTTTCAAGAAACTGTTTATCTGTCATCTGTGGCTAAGCTAACTAGCCCGAGCATTTACAGCAGTAGAGGAACGTGTGAGCAGCACATACACAAGCATGACTGAAAGTGCTAAGACCCTCCTCTTAGTTCTGATTGGTTGTTTCTGATTGGAGCAGAGCATTTGTGCAGATGGGAGTAAGACCACAGTGAGAAGGCAGAGGAGCTCAATTTTTTTCACAGATTATCTGTCTCATACTGTCACAACATAGAGACAGTTTTAACAAATATGTAAAAAAAACAACATATTTTTTATAAAAGTTACCAACTGAAGCTTTAAGGTTTACCAAGGCTTTAAACGGTTACAGTTTTAAAACGCTAAAGCTTTCTGTCATACTATTCTCATTGTTTATGGTTCTTTCAGTGAGACGCCAGAGAAAGCAATGGAGTGATGGAACTTCTCTCTGGCTCTAAGGATTATAGAGGAACACAGTGCTCCCCTCCCCTACGTGTTGCTGCACACTACCAGGTAGCAGCCTAAAAAAGGCTGATTTATTTTCCTTCACTGACAAGAAATACAAATCTGGCTATTTGGAAGTATTTCTGCTGTGATAAACACAGACAATCATGGTTTGGGTTCCTTTTGCCTGACTTATTTCATGCAGTCTCTGCTTTTGTGTTAATAGCTTCCTTTCTATCACTCGTCTCCATTTTATGGATCTCATATCTCATATTTGCCTTTTGACAGCGAGCCGTTCATTCTCTGTGACAGTGGTGCCTAAGTCCAGTCCTCGAGATCTGCCGTCCTAAAACTTTTAGATTCCTCTCGTCTCCAGCACACCTGAATCAAATGCCTCATTACCAGGCACCTGTAGAGCTAAAAGCCATTTGATTCAAGTGTTGAAGAGAAGGGATGTACAAGTTATGGACTTTTTAAAAAAATTCATTGTTTCTGGAGCTGCTAAAATAAAATTAGTAGTAATTCTTATAATTTTAATAATGTTGGCTGTATGTTTTAAGAAAAAGATGCATGTCCACAGTCCATGTTTCTTGCAACCAAGCAGATTGTCTTCCTTGTAAGGGAAGGCCTTTCTGAGGCAGCTAGCTAGCAGTGTGCAGAAACATGTAGGGGAGCACTGTGTTGTTTCCTTATAACCAGAGAAAAGTCCAGTCACTGCAGTGGTTTCTCTTGCATCTCCATAAAAGGACTTAAACACAGAGAAAAGTTTGACTGAAAATGTCCGCAGTTCTGACACTGTAACTGTGAAAAACGTACCGGTAACTAGGCCATTTCTAGTCCGGTTCTCGGTCTCTTAGCCCAGCTAATGTTTCTGACACCATTTCTGGTTTAGGAGTAGCTTAACACAAAGACTGATAGTTGTATCTCATGTCCTGCATCTTGAAGCATTGACACCAGCCACAGTCCACACCGTGTGAATCTCTTGAACAAGCTGCTCTTCATACTTTTTCCTTCCGCTAAACTTTCCATTAATATACCTTGATACAGCACTATGAGAGTAGTCAGCTTCCTTAGCAACAATCTTTAGTGGAGGCTGACAGACTGTCAGCACAGCAGTCTTCTTCATGACCAACCGTGAGTGCCCAAATCCAGTCATTAAGGGTTACCATCCTGCAACTTTCAGACGCATCCCTTCTCCAACACACCTGAATCAAATGAATTGCCTCTGCAGAGCTGACTTGACTGCTGATGAGGGGATTCAGCTTTTTGATTCAGGCGTGATGGAACAGGGATGCATGTAAAAGCTGCAGGATTGTAACCCTTAACAACCGGACTAGGGCTCCCCTGGTGTAGAGCATGACATTACATTTCTATACTGCAAATTATTGGTCTTATGTAGTTTTCTGGGAAACAGAATTTGGGGTTTTAAATATCTGTAAGTCATAAATGTCAAAATTAACGGATAAATATTTAAAATAGATCACTTTGTGATAAATTAGTTATATTTTCTGAATTAATTTAACTTTTTGATATTCATAAACTGTTTGTTTGTCAACACAAAGGGCAGTGTGTATTTTTGCTAAGAATGGCATTCAGCTGTATTTGGATACAAGTGCTATATATAGAGAAGCTTTCCTGTTACGTTTGCAATGCGCTCTGCTTCCGTCTTTAAGTATGTAATATTAAAAAAGCCAGTAGGATAAGATGTAACTAGTGAATGTATTTGTAAGTGGGACCTGTGCAATAAAGGATGTAAACATTTTTATATAAACCAGCTCCTGGCAATGCTATATATGAAGGACTTGAAATAGTGACCCGCCTCTCCTGTATAAATAACTCATACAGAGAAATCAGTGAAAATCTAAAAACATACCACAGTTTATTCAAAAGCAACAAATGAAACATGCTGGAAATTGCCATATCACAGTTTTCATTTTCCATTTAAGTACAAAAAATAGACATTACATGAAAAAAATAAAATAAATTAACAATAAATATTTAAACAATCCCGCTCCAGGAGGACTTGGTGGCGTTATGAGGCTGGCTCTGCTGCCACGTACTCGGCTGGGTTCATGAAGGAGAATCCAGAAAAGGCTGCGTTGGAGGCAGCTGCCTCCGACCTGTCGTAGACGGAGGCAGGGACAGGCTGCAGCGTGAAAGCAGGAGCGATGTAGTACACATCACAAGGACTGGTCTAGAAAACGACAAGACAATCAGAGCCAACTGGGCACATGTTGAAATTACGTTTCTGACCATTTTCTGATTTATCCGTACCACTTTAGGGATGAACGGAGGCCGGACTTTTCTGGCTATGAGGTCGTCCCAGTTGATGGAAGCGAAGAACTGATGCTCCTTCAGCTCCTCCTAAGAAAACAGCAGAAATGAAATCCTGTGGTCATGAGCCTCTTCACTCATTCTGGATGCTCTCTGTTCTGTACGCACTTACAATATCAAGCCTCTGGCCCAAGCGCTTGGAGACGTTTCTCTCCAACAACCCCTTCAACAGAGAGTGGGCGCTTTCAGACAAGCCGCTGGGCAGCTGCAGAGGAGAGTAGAGGATATTTTCCAACATCTCGAGCCTGCTGCGGCTGTAAAATGGAGGCTGGGAAGCAGAACAGGCAATACAGTGAGTTAAAGATGCAGAAAACAGTGAGGCAAAGCTTAACCCAGTGAGACTCACCAGTCCAGAGAGCATCTCAAACAGCACCGCTCCCAGTCCCCACCAGTCCACAGCCAGGCTGTATGGCTGGCCCAGCAGAACTTCTGGAGCCAGATACTCTGGGGTCCCACAGAAGGTGTGTGTAATCCCACCCACAGCCACGCCTTCCTTACAAAGACCAAAGTCTGTGAGCATCACGTGGCCTTTGCTGTCCAGCAGGACGTTTTCTGGCTTCAGGTCTCTGCACAGAAACACATGGAGCAGAAAATGTGTTCAGTAGGCTTGTCGCAATAAATCAGCTTGTCGCATGATCAATTAAAACAAGCTCAATAATTACATTTGCATGATTTGTCGTTTTTGTCTTTTCTACCAAAAGCTGGATAACAAAAGTTTTCAGTCTGGCTCTTTTTGTTCAGAGGACAGTTTTGTTTACAGAAACTTAATAATTCATTTTATTTGTTGTTTTGTTTATTTCGGATATTTGAAATATCTTTCAGCTCCAGCGTTAAATGTTCAGTAGAAAGTTTGAGTTTTGAGAATGTGTTCTTCAATTATTATGCCGTTTTCAATATATTACTTAAAAATGCTCTAAAAACAACAATATTATTTATTGCAATAACTTAAGGGGCAATTTATCATCCAGCAAAATTTGTTATTGTGACAGGCCTATAGTTTAGTCTATAAAATATCTCTATTTTATAGAGATATTTAAAAATATATCTCTATATATATATATATATATATATATATATTTTATATCCATCTATATATATGTTCTCTAGTTCTAATTGAGAAATTGAGGCAATTTTACACTTTGACAAAACTTTAAAGCTCCTTATGTAGGGCAGTAAAAACCCTTTCAGAGAAAGTAAGGTGGACCTTCCCGTCTACAAAAAATGCTCCTCTGACTAAACCAGTTAGTTTCCATTGGGATATAAAAATGTGTCACTTTTTTACGACGAGCTCATTTGCTGTGAACAAAACAGCATAATTAATGTTTGACTTGAAATCAGGGATTTCAGTAGTTTTCCTCTTATGACGTTTAAAACATGAAGGAAACCTGTGGGTGTAAAAGAGTCACATGCAAAAAGTAAAAAAAAAAACCCCACCAACCTTAGAGAATAAAGTATTTTAACTTACCTAAATCTTTCAGCTAATAATTAGTTATGTTGCATAATTTATAGAAGTCTACTATTGTTTTCTATAAGCTCTTTAACTGAACTTTAGCCAAACTTGCAGAACTGCTGACGGCGTTATCTAAAGCTGTATTTCATCTGTGCACCTGTAAACGATGCTCAGAGAGTGGAGATAACCCAGCGCAGCGGCGATCTCTGCAGCGTAGAAAGCAGCTCGGGGTTCTGGAAATGAACCCTCTCTCTGCAGGTGGTAAAACAGCTGAAAGAAACAAAGGTTTCACAAACAAGAAATGAAACTCCAGGAGATAATTTGCGAGACTCAATCAGACAAAGGACTTCTCTAACCCACATACCTCTCCACCGTTTGCAAAGTCCAGGACGAAGTAGAGCGTCTTTGGCGTCTGGAAGGAGAAATGCAGCCCCACCAAGAATGGATGTTTTAGTCCCTTCAGCAGCACACTCCTTTCAACCATCACGTTCCTTTGCTGCAGAGACACAACCCACGGACACGGTCAGACAGACAAACAGACGCTCAGATGGACAAGCAGACGCAACGAAACACAGAGAAGGACAGACCTCTTTCCTCTTGATGATCATCTGCTTGTCCAGGGCTTTAACTGCGTAGTAACCTCCTTGTTTTCTGTGTCTTGCCAGCAACACCTGTTACACAATTCATTTTTTAATTGATCATTTCACAGCTTTTACAGATAAAAACTAATATATTAATGAAAAAAATACCTTTCCAAAGCTTCCCGTGCCAATAACTTTGAGGTAGTCAAAGTCTGATGGTTTCACCCTGATGAAGACAATGACAGAAAACAGTGGTAAGTAGCAAGAAATAATGATTGTAAGACAAGTATGCAAATAGAGTGATGTTGCTAAATACATAATGTGTCCACATAATAAGTTAACCCTGGTTCTTTTTTGCTTATTTGTTTTTTTTTTCCTCAAAAAGCCCTCATAATTGCTAATGCCACAACCTGTGACGTGAGCTCACAAGGTTAGAAGCCAATTAGGGGGACCCTCCCATGGACCTTAAGAGAGGAAAAATTCTTGAACTTTAAAAACCTTTTGACTCGTTAAATCCTCTTTTATGCCCGGGTCCAGAAAAATGCTGTGCGCAAAGACTGAGATCACACAGAGATAACAGCGTCACAATAATCAGCATTTATTCAAGACAGATGCATACTATGACCAGACAAACACATCACATAACATCAGAAACCTCAGAGCACAAACAACACATGAATTTACCTGAGAGAGAAAAAGACAAAAAAAAGACAAAATGGAAACGACAAACAAAAAGCAAAGACGTCTTTGGAGAAGTTGCAAGAGCAAAATCTAACGTGTTACTTCTGTGTGGAAAGTTTTATCTTCTTTTCTTTAATTTATTCAAATAAGGCGTATCTTTGCTCCTCCAACCAGGAGCTCTCTGACCCTCTCTCAAGCCAGAAACCCCTGCCGTGTTTACGGCCTTTCACAGATGAGTGTGAAAAGCTGGAACTTCTCCTGTATTGTTTTCCACACAGACAAAAGGCAGTTCAAACGACCCTAGCAAACCATCTGCTGTAACTACAGGTAAAATAAAGGTCAATAGGCCAGAATAAGTTACTGATTTAAAACCACAATTTGGCCATTTGAATCAAGACATGTTAAGTTTTAAAACTAGCTTATTTTAAATGTATTTTCTCAACAACCTTCACTGTGCTTCTCAATTGACTGCTATAAAAGAAAGGGGTTGCTCTGTAATGTGAAGCAAAAACTTTTTCTCGTGTCAACGCTGCGAGTGGGTGTGACTCACTGTGAGGTTTCTGTGTTCACTGGACTCTGAAAAAGTAAGACAGACAGAGAGGGGAGGAATTGTCAAGTCAGAAGGTGGGATTGGGTTTCATCCCCCGTCAACGACGAGGCAGCATCTCCTAAAATTCCTCCGCCAGATCAGAACTCACCAAGGCAGCTTTCTCCTGCTTCTGTCTCCTCATCTTGCTCTGTCTCTGCAGCAGTTTATGGGTGTCCAGGCTTCAATCGGGAGGTCAAGCACAGCTAAGCGTTAAAGGGGCTGGACTCAAAGTTTTAAAAAAGAAAGTCTTATTTTCTTTGCTAACTTACTGTTGGCAGGGTTTCTGGGTGGAAACAAGTTTGCGCAAGAAATTGCTGAAGCCAACTTTCTTCTCTTTCAGCACATCTGTAAGACAGATGGATAGACAGGCAGAGAGGAGGTGGGTTAGTCCATTACATAAGAATGTACTAGCTGGATTTAGTCTGATGATGTCTGGCAGCTTTTCAAAGTGAGGTCATACTGAGAATTAAACGAAATTTAATAGCTTTCTGGAGTAACCAAGTGATATCAACAGGCAATTCTGTGTTAAGTTATTTTAATATTAATTCAATAAATGAAATCATTTAATATAAACCTATATGTCCTTTTGAGGAATACTTTAAGACATTTTCCAAATAATTTGTGATGTTTCATATTATCACTTTCGTAAAATAATATCAAATTTAGCTATTTTGCCCCCCCCCCCCCCCCCCCCAAAAAAAAAAAAAAAAAAAAAAAAAATATTTAAAAAA